GAGACATATGTAGAACGGTAAGCAAACATTTTCTAAACCTCTCTTCAGTGTAGAAATGTGTGTTCAGCAGATCTCACAAAGGATTTGTTTCTTAGTGAAGACATCCGTATATCCATACTTGTGAAAGCTGGTCTGCTTTGTTTTTCTAATATTAGAGTTGTTCTTTACAGTATTCTTTTTAGGGGAACAAAGTCTAAAAATGATCATCCTATGGAAATTATCGACTGACTTTGTCATTAGCAAAGATTATTTGATAGGCTAAAATAAAAGAACTGTTGAAAATACACATTCCCTTGGGCTTCTTTTGGAGACAACAGAATGTACACAAAAGTTGAAAGCAACTTTGAAAGTTATCTGGTCCAGTTCTCTTATGTTACTGTTGAAGAAACTGAATCTGGATTTATGGACTCAAAGTTGGGCAATTAGGACCCAAACTCCATTCTTCTGATCATTGAACCAAAGGAATCTTGAGACCACAGTGGATCATGGCAGTGGGTAACAATCTCCATTTAGTATCTTTCATTTCATGTACCTGAAATATGCTGCTAGATAGTACAATTGATAGCATTACAAAAAATACAACAGATCTAGAGAGAAAGTTAAGGGACCTGAATAAGGAGCCCAGTGAGAGATTCAGTAAGACAAAAGCCCAAATTAAACATGTGGTTTTCCATTCTGGATTCCTGTGACCACCAGGGGGAGATGTCTGCTTAGATCTTGACAAAAGCTCTTTTCGGATATTGATGCTGGAACTGCTCAAATAGATAAATTGGCTAATTCTCATACAGTTTTACAGGAAAAATTTTTTTAAACTTAGAATTTTAAAAAATATTGTTTGATCACGTGTCTATGTAGAGAATGGCTCAAAAATAGTAGGACAGTGGATTTTTCTTGTTTTCAGTCTTCTTGGTGAAACTGATGGTGTTTATACTACATAAATTTGGCCACTTGGTTCATATAATGCCTCAGAGTCACTTTCCAATGTAATTTATTTCTGCATCCACTGTTTCTATTAATGGCACCACCTTTCCTCCAAGCTTAGAAACCTCAAAGTCAACTTGAGTTTTCCTCTGCCCTCTGCCAGGCATCCTCGAACAGCCTGCTCACTTCTCTCCCTGTAAGTTTTCTCTGTCACCATACCTCTGCAAGATGTTTCCATTTCCCAGTGACCATCTCACTTAGACTTTTCAACTTTGCCTCTGTAATAACCTCCAAACTGGTCTTCCTACATCTTTTCTATCCTCGTTCATTCTTACCTAACCAGGCTTTGCTACTCTCTTAGTGTTAAGAGTAGAAGACAGCTGGTCACTCCCTTATGAAGACTAACAACCTAAGGGGGCACCGGTAGAGAATCTTGATGAGAGAATTGTCAAGACTGTCCTACAGATTTAGCATCCTTGGCCACTGCCCTCTAATAACGGTACTCTCCTCCCTCCAAATCACCCATTTTAATTGTCAAAAAATATTCTCCTCCCCCATCCCAATTTATAAATAACCCATTAAGGAAATGGTCCCACACCCCATTCTTATATCTGTGGTTTTCAACTGGGGCTACAGATACAGCTTCAGAATTCAAGTATTCTGTGTGAAACATTTACCATTTATGTTTGTTTTAATAATCTTTTCAAAATTTGGTTTAAGCACTTCCTGGGTCACCCGGGTGACCCAATATCAACATGAGATTTCAGAGTCCTCTTTAGTTCTTGTATTGACAGCTGCTGATCATCTTCAGTATTTCACTTTCAGTGTCGGCTTTTTAACTTATGTTCTCAGAAGCCTAAGTTTTCAGTTTTTTAAATTTAAGAAACACTGCTCTATTTGGGCCACTCCCTGTGGTTGTGCAAATTCTTCAAAGCACAAGAGTACTGGGCAGGTTTACCTGGAATTCTTACAGTCTCTACCTATTTACCATGGCTTCCACCCTTGGGACTGTGTTTTCCCAAAAAGATTCTTTTGTCTAATTCTCACAAAAGCGATGTCGGGTTGGCATTGGCTCTAGGCATATGCTGTTCCCAGATTAATAGTTCTAAAATGTAGGTATGTTTATAATGCTCTATTTGAGTGTTCTCTGTTCTCATCTGAATTAAGAACAGACTCCTCACTCTAAACATGTTTTGACCTTAGCTCCAGCTAGGAGCTACGTCCCTCCTCATGGTTTGCACTTCAGCCAAGCTGGATCCGAACACACTGTACTTTCTGGCCTATGTGTTCCTACAAATGCTCCTTTCTGGCCTATGTGTTCCTACAAATGCTCCTCTCACCACTGGGAACATGGTGCCCTGTCACCCCTCTCTGCCTGGTACAATGTTGGAGCTTACGAGCCCTGCCTGCCATAGATTACACTTCCATTAATTATTTCCATGCTTCTCCCCACCCATGCTAATGTCATCTCTTCTGAGAATAGCATGATGTGGTTAAAGGAACATAGCCTTGGGGGCAAAAATATCTGAGTTTGACTCTTCCTAGCCAAGCCCTTTTCTCTTGACCTATAAAGCACAAAAACACTTACCCTGCACTGGCAGAACAGTTTTGAGGATTTACGTGCCTGGTTCAGTGCCTGTCCTGGGCAAGGCGCCCAACCACTAAAATTTCCTTCCACTTCTCCTAACTTGGAGCCCCATTATTTCTACTCTCACAGACTGTCTCTACTTTTATGGCTGTTCCTATGTTCTGCTTTTATACTTTTTTGAGTTTTTGTCTTCTTATCCATTAGACTGAAAGCTCCTTGAAATGAAGGCTGCATCTTGTTCATCTAAATATCCATTTAGTGCCTGCTACAGATTTTGTACATAGTAAGTGCTTAATAAACATCTGCTAACTAAATTGGAAATTTAATCTCAAAATTTCCCAAGTCTGTTAGAAATATAATCTTACTAATTCACCCTTGGCAGATGGTGAAGAGAGCTCTGAGAGAGGTGGGGAGGAAAAGGACATGGACCTTTTGGGTAACTACAGAATACTTTACAAAGTTAATGCCTTTAGAAACTGAACACTAATATTCATATGCAAAAGCCTGTGGAGCTCTGTTATGTGAACCCTAAAATCTGTTCCCTTTGGCTAGTGTTTGTTCATTTCTAAAGAAATGATAGCGATTGTGTTGTTTTTCTGTGTTCATCCTCAAACTTTCTTATTTTATTCCCATTGGTCATCATTTAGACATTAAGCATGTGAAATGCCCATTGGGATTTTGCACTTTTTTTTTTAGAATGGTCCTGTCTATAAGGGATGCTAACCAGTGCAAGTTGCCACTTATTCATATTGTTATCATGGTCAGTATTATTTATTATATATAACTAGTGACACAGAGTATTTTCTTAGGTTTATAACTCTTGGTAAGTGAAAATCTCACACATTACAGTTAACCAGTCTCAGGCCTGCATTTGGTGAAACCTCATTTAGTCACAGATGATGAATCACCGCCACCCACTTCCTACTTTGAATGTTTTTCTCTCTCAAGCTGCTCTCTCTGGAAAACACCTCAGTGTCACCTTGAGGCATGCAGAACTTTGAGAAAATCTGTCACAACAGGAAAACAGTTTTAAACTCAAAGTGATGTTAATTCTTTGAAATTATGTTAGCAGATTTGCAAGTGCTATTCAGAAGTCCAACTGCATAGTAAATCAATATGCTCAGAGAGGACTGGTCTGTATTTCCCTGGGGTGATGAAAAAGCAAACTAAACTATCAAGTGCCTTTAATTTGGGCTAGAATAGTACATGTTAGTTTATGGTTGTTAACACTGATTCTGTGATTTTCAAATAGAAAAATTGATTATTGAGAAATGAAAGTTTCTTAGTAATATATCAAGATACACGATTCCCCCGCCCCTCCCCTAAAATCTCCCCAGACAGGAAAAATAATTAAAGTGTTTGTCCAAACTCTTATTTTCAAGAGGACCATACAGAGTGAGGAGGGTCAAGGGTCAGGAATGAGTTATGACAGTGCTGTGGCAGGGAGGGGACGCAGAAGAGAGGTTTTTGAGCAGCTGCTCTGAAGCCTTAGAAGAAATGGACAGATGAGGAGGAATTTTAGGATATTCTGGTTCAACTCATACACCACTTCTTCAAGAAAACACAGTGAAGATGTGTTTTCTTGACCAAGGTTTCTGAAACTTCATTTGCATTTTATTTGCTTTCTCAGTGGGCACATTAGGTCTCAAGGTCTCAAGGTATGTTAGTGTTACAGTAGAAAGGTCACTCGCAACTCAGTTTGGAAGGAATAAGAATAATAAAAAGGACCTTTGATGGAAGGGTTAAAGGCCATGGTAATTCAGAGCCAAGACGTGCAAATAGGAGAAAAATTAGTAACTGGGAAAGAAAAGCTATTTCACAGAATTGAGAACATCTAAGTGTTTTGTTTTGCTCGAGTTGTGTATGAGGTTGGATTTTGGATAATTTAATTAATTTAATAGCATTTGTACATAAAGCATGTATTTTTCTTAAAAAAGAACATCATTAGTGTAAGTGAGCTTGTTGTATGTTGACAAAGCTTCACAAAACAATTTTACTTGCCTTCTATTCTTTGTCTAGCCTCATAACATCTACTACTTTGGCCCCATGTGGCAAATTTAAGATGCATAATGTGAACAAAGAATGAATGTCTCTGATTAGTATCATGATTGTTTTCCCTTTCACAGTTATGCAAATGAACTACTCTCCATTAAACTGGAAGCCTTATCCCAAGGGCAAGAGAACTTAAGCTGGAATGAAATTCAGAATTGTATTGATATAGTTAATATTCAGATTCAAGAAGAAAATGACCGTAAGTATGGAACACTTCCTTTCTCTAGTATAGTAGGAGAATAAGGTGTCTGGACAACTTAGTTCTCTAGATTAGGGCTACAAATATTTGCTCATGGAACCCTATGAGAGCACACTTCCCTAATATGTATCTATGTATTTCTATATAAATGTTATGCCTGTACTACTATAGCAATGTGTTATAAACATTACAAAGCATACAAAAAAAGACATGAAAGGACAGAATGAAAATACATAAATAGGGATGTGATCAGAGCAGGGCTCATGAAGAATGGCTTCTCTGTTTACAACACATCCAACAGGAATTTGGGTTTACTCTTCACAGGTGGCAGGATTTGGGTTTACTCTTCACTGTGACCTTCCTGTGACATTATGCCCTATATGTGGAAAAAATAAATAAATAGAAGTCCTAATATTTTTTATTTATTGGTACTTCAGAGACGACTTCTAGATAACTCAGTTTTTTAAGCATCCAACTTTATTTTGACCTTTCATTTGGGCATTTTTCTGAAATGTGACACATGTTCCTACCCTAGGAAGAAACTGGAACATATTCTAACTGTTGCTTTTTAATCACAAGTCATGGTGATTTGTTGTTTCTAGAAATTACGAACTACCAGCATGAAGATGGACAGTCCGAGAAGATATGCCTTGAAACGTGCTTTCTTAATGTCAGCTTCCTTCCTTATCATTTGCCTCTTGCTTATAAAAACATAGTGAAGAATGAGGAGCTTTGTAACTTTAGCAATCATTGTAATCACTGCTTTTATGTAGCATGAATTACCAAATTCAAGCTTCAAGCTGTCTTTTCCATCATAAAAACAAACCAGCACCACCATTTTGGGCTTTCTCTGAGTCTTTTGATGTGTCAGCAACATTGGCTTAAGATCGCTAATATTATTGACCTCCCTTCTACCTTCCAGTTTTGACTTATTTTTCACATTTGTTCTAAGTTTGATGATGGAGTAGGCAATACTTCTCTCACAAGTTTAGGATGTTTTGTTCTAGTGAGTTCTGGTAAGGTCTTAGGTCTATTCTTCTAATGCTCTAACTTTAGGATAGTAAAATTACTCTCGTGCTAAAATGTAAGACTTTGTTAGTTAATTTCATTTGCATAGTTTTCTTCCCTTTTTTCTATTTCCTGCGAACTTGGCACCCAACGTCAAGGCTGGATTTGTTTTTTCATTAACCATCTTCTCACTTTAGGTTTCGAACAGAAAACAGTCCAGGTGTGCTGCCTTGACATCGTGTACTGTGGATGATACACTAATCCCTGGATACTTTCTTTCTCTTGTTCTTCTCAAATTGTGTTCAAATCTAAATTTTCTCTTTTGACAACCAGTATTTGCTTCCTCTGCATTTCCTTTCAGTGAGGCATTTTGGAATCCCTGCAATGAGATAGCCTACACACGGCCCACTTAGCTCTTCTCTGATACATTGGCCTAGGAGCTGGTGATTCTTGCCAGATACTAGTCAAGAGAGAAGCACTAACTTGAGCAGATGTTCAACATTATCTGATGGGGGAAAAAACGCTGCAACGTGTGTCCTGTTACAAAGTTCAGTCTCCCAGCCCTCTGGCCTCTTGCCTTCCTCCTTGGGTCTCCTGCAACAATGGTTTGGGTGCTTTGGCTAATGCCACCCAAGGGTAGCACTCTTCTCTTTAGGTGAGCAAAACAAAGAATTATGTTCCATCTTTATTTTCTAACTTTTTCCCAATTCTTTCTGACAATACCCACAGTCCAGGTCTGTTTTGGTGATTTTGGTATCTGCAGCTTATGTTCTCAGTGTTGAACAATTATAGTTTTTACTCTCATTCTTGACTTTAATTTAAAAAGGGAAAGGGAGATGCCATTTTTGTCCCAGATTATCTAGTAGAGCCTTTGCTTTTTACCAGGAAAAGAAAAACAAGTAACATTTATATAACTTAAAAAGAGAGTGGTCTTTTATAGGTGGATATCATTTTTAAACAAAAATCTCTTTGGACTACAGTATTGTTATTCTCCATGGGATATATCACATGACTACTATCATATTTCTTTTAAGCATCTTGTTGTGAAGGATATATGCCATAACTAGAACGGTTACTTCACATATTCCTGAACATACTATCTTTCCAGAACTTGAGGAATTTAATACAGAATATTTAATTTCTCTGTTTTGGTTTGTTTTATTATGTCAAAAAGAGGTATTTTTGTTTTAAATTCTTCAAGCATTGAGTTTGATATATGTTTAGGTAATTGTTTAAAAAGCTAACTTTAAAAAATATACCATTGCAAACAGGCATTAAATTGTGAACAGTAATTAGGTCATCTGAAAGAGCTGAGAATTTTTTGTGAACATCTTGAAAGTGCATTACTCTCTCCACCCCACCCCTGCCACATGCTCCTAGGTTTAATCCTCTGTCTGAATTGTGATGTAAATAAGGTATGCAGCTAATGTGAAATGATAAATGTGGAAGGTGAATTTAATGGAGAAGCTGCTAAACACATTTCCTCAGACTTGGATACTCTGTGGATTTCTTCCTGGCAAGATCACTTTTTCCAGTAGAGCCATAGAGGAGCATTATTTTAACCATGTAACTTAGTTCTTTTCCTTTGAATTTTTGCTTTTTAAACTTGGTAGGTACCATTCTTTTATTTGTGATGTTGGTAGGTTACCTCATCTGCTGTCTCAAATGCACGATGTCGAAGAGAATGCCCACCCTCATAGAATGTTATGGTCTCACATGATGGGCTCAGCAATCTTTGTTCAAATGGGAATTCCCCTTTACTTATAAGCAGAGGAAGTGATGCAGATGTGCCCGGGGGCTTCTGGGTAGGTCTTTCAGCTCCTATGAGGTCACTTACTATGAGCTCAGCAGCTTGTGTTCTTAGAAACACAACAAACAAAACTTAAGCAGGTGATTTCAATCAAGTCAGCTGGAATGCACTCATTCCCAGGTGATCAGCCATTAGGAACACATATTTCTCAGACATAGTTCTGTTAAGATCATTTTTGGATGGCGTATTTAAAAGTATTTAGAACAATCTACCCAAGGAGGTATCCAGAGAATGACATGAAGTTTTCTGCACCCTCCAGTTTATAAGTACTACAGGGTAAAATGATGATAATACCTTGTATGTGGATAGTAATTAGACTTTCCAGAGTTCTTCCAGTGTTTTGAGATGATGAACTTGCATGTTTGAGAAGTACTTTTGCTTTTCTTCAAACATATTTAAGTATTATAATCAGGAATAATTTTAGTTATTTTAGATTGCCCCTTCTCTCTTCCAGGTAAATCTTTTCATTCTCAGCAAGGTGGTATTTATGGAGTCATCTGTTAGGGAGATACTTAGATAAATATTTTACCTTAATTTCAATGTCAAGATGAAGATACTTTATAAAAATTAAAAGTATTCAATTTCGTAGCATACCACATTTGTAAAGTCACTTGTGATTGTTTTTTTATGAAAAATAACTGGCAAAATGAGAAATAATAAGTTTGGCTTTAAGAATGTTTATTTTCTAAGCGTACTTGCTTGTTAATGTTTAAGTTTTTTACTAGTTCTTGTCCATCAGCACTAATCTGGGAAGTAAAAGCCTTCTCAGTATGTGTGTATATGTGTGTACAATATACACACACATATACTTATGTATAAACACACATTTGTACATACACTATAGTTTTTTTATGACTGATTGATAGTTTATTTTTAATAATAAGGTGGTATTGAGAAGTGGCTTTCAAATAGATCCTTTTTGCTAGAGTTTTGAAAACTTTTCAGAAGATCCTATGGTATGGTAGAGATGATAAAAGTGAACTGGTGGATATGCTTATTTTTCTTTTGGTAACTTCGTGATTTAGAGCTTCAGATGTTATTTTCCCAGGTGCTTTTAGAGATACAATTTGTGATATTAATTAGCCCTACTTGAACTTTAAAAATATCCCAAAACATGCATGACTACATTAATTTCAATGGAGACTTCTTGCATTTCTCAGCCATGTGTGGCTATTTTAACTAATTAAAATTAAATAAAATTTAGAATTACATTCTTTAGCCATACTAGCCACATTTTAAATGTTTAATATAGTAGTTAGATGTGGCTAAGGCCAGCCCAGATACAAGATATTTCCATCATGATAGAATGCTCCATTGGACAGCATTGCACCATATTGACCTGGAAATTCACTCTACTGACACGGTAGGGAATTGTTTGATTTTTTAGTTATCTCTGGGCATTTTTTTACAGTGGTCAAGTAGAGTAATCCAAAGGATAGAATGTATATCCAAACCTCTTTGCACTTCTTTTTTTTTTTTCTGTATATGTGTATTTTAAATTCTTCCAGCTTTGGTATTCTCTGGTTCCATCATCCAGCATCTTGGTTACTATCTAAGTGAAGGTTGCACTAGAAATTAGCAACCCTGCTGCTACTGGTATGTAAAGTTATCCCCCCTTTTATAACAGTTTCATAGAGATATAATTCATATACCATAAAATTCATGTTTATTGTGTTTTCATGGTATATTTTGTTATTTAAAAGTTGTACAACCATCATCACTATCTAAATTCAGGACATTTTTATCACCCCAAAAAGAAACTTCATACCCATTAGCAGTCATTCCTATTTTCCCCTCCTCTCATTCTCTGTTAACTACTAATCTGCTTTCTTTCTATGGATTTTCCTATTCTGGACATTTCACATAAATAGAATCGTAATTTGTAGCCTTCTGTCTGGCTTCTTTCACTTAGCATGTTTTCATGGTTTGTCCATGTCGTATCATTATACTTCATATTCCTTTCTAGATCAAATAATATTTTATTCTATGGCTATACATTTTGTTTTTCCATTCATCAGTTGATGGATATTTGGGTTGTTTCTACTTTTAGCTATTATGAATATTGCTTCTCTAAACATCCATGTGTAAGCTTTTATGTGAACATATGGTTTCAGTTCCCTTAAGTGTATACCTAGAAGTGTAATTGCATGGTATGATAATTCTGTGTTTAATATTTTAAGGAACTACCTGTTCACCAAGGTGACTGTACCATTTTCCATTGTATGAGAGTTCCAGTTTCACCACATCCTCACACCACTCGTTGTTGTTGTCTTATTACTGCCAACCTAGTGTGTATGAAGTGTATCTCATTGTGATTTGGATTTGCATTTTCCCGATAACTAATGATATTGAGCATCTTTTCATGTTCTTATTAGCCATTTGTATACCTTCCTTAAAGAAATGTCTGTTCAAGTCCTTGACCCATTAAATTGGATTTTCTTTTTTGTTGAATTTTAAGAGTTGCTTATATATTTGGCATACTTGCATATAAGATGTATAAGTCTTCTATCAGAAACAGGACTTGCAAGTGTTGTCTCCCATTCTGTACATAGGTTGTCTTCACTTT